AATAAATAACATTTGAAGAAGGAGAAAATATGATTGGATATATTTTTTTGTATTACCATGCGTTATGAATTTTACAGCCATTGCAGGGACCTCGGAAGAATTCCCATGTTTATATGGAGATGGCCCATGTTGGCGGCTGGAATCGAAAATTTAATTCATATATCCCCACCTCGCCGAATTCATTAATTTTTGACTCATTAATTCATTTGTAACAAGATTATTAGCTGGTGCCAAGAAATATGTTGCTGTTGAACGACAGCAAAGACGATTACCAAATTATTTTCCATTCTTTCTTAATAAACAATATCATTTTCCGCAAAAATCTTTGTTATTTTATGCTCATTCAACTGTTTGAATCGGTGTGAATCGGTGTTTCACATCTTTCAAAAATTTCCACCGTTCCCGGCTCAGTGTGCAGAGCCTATTAAAGCCGAGTACTCAGATCCGAAAAAGGACCTCGCGAACAGAATCAGGGTTGATATTCGTATGAAACCGGCAAAAACTGTTTTCTAGGCTCTGTACGGAAGGAAGTACTCAGATCAAAAAACAAAAAGGTCGGTATATACTGGAAAAGTATCAGAAGTATTTGCTTTTTTTTTTTGGTATGTTTCGACCAACCTCGAAAAAGATATCAGTTTGATATCTTTTGCCAGCAAACACGAAGCAAACATTGCAATTAGAGAACAAAAACCCCAAATGAAATATTTTAATAATGAAGACAAATAGAATCTAATTAATGCAGCATATATATAAAGGACAATTTTATGGATATTATATTATATTTTCATTAATTTTCATAAATATAAAACAAATATTGCTTTCAAAATAGTTTGTCTTCACGGTGGTCGGCACGGGAGGCGTCGCCATCTGCTTCTGCTGATAGTCAGACACATTACCTTGCCAATAAAATATTGGGGAGCCCAGGATATGCCTGGGGAAGAGCGGCCCCAGCCGAAGAAGTGCATTTTGTTAACTTTAAACAAAACCAAGCAGCGGTCTGAGCAGTGTAACCGTTCGGAATGCAGTGCACACCTCTGGTCACACCACTGGTCGCTCGAAAAATATATGACATCTGTTTCCTAGCAAACGTTTTTCGATCTGAGTACTAGGCTTTAATATACAAATAGAAAATACCGAATAACTTTTAGTATTTTAAGTAGATGTATATATTTTTTTTTTGACAGTTCACTGCTACACTAATCGAATGAATTGCTTACACGTCAATTGAAATAGAAAAAAGAACGACTTCCTCTTTACTTCTTAGTACAAAATTAATCGCTGCTTCAGCAAAAAATAAACAAGATGGGTTTAACTATATCTAGTCTTTTGACACGTCTTTTTGGAAAAAAGCAAATGCGTATTCTAATGGGTATGTTATAAACGGTGTGAATTGTTTTAGGCGGTGGCTCTATGCTACAAATAGTCATGACAGTCATATATACCATCTAAACTGTGTTTTTATGTGATTTTGGAATAATTATGTGCACTAAACGATGTTTCCGAACGCAGTTGGCTTAGATGCAGCTGGAAAGACGACCATACTTTACAAACTAAAGCTGGGAGAAATTGTGACAACCATTCCTACCATCGGTTTCAATGTAGAAACCGTGGAATATAAAAACATATGTTTTACTGTTTGGGATGTTGGTGGTCAAGATAAAATTCGACCTTTGTGGCGCCATTACTTTCAAAATACGCAGGGTTTAATTTTTGTTGTGGACTCGAACGACCGTGATCGCATCAATGAAGCTGAAAAGGAACTTCAGAATATGGTATTTACGTATCCTTATAAAATGTTCAATAGTTTTATACACTAACACTATTTCCATTCTAGCTCCAAGAAGATGAGCTTAAGGATGCTGTGCTGTTAGTTTTTGCTAATAAACAAGATCTACCGAATGCCATGACTGCCGCGGAGCTCACAGACAAGTTGCGGCTGAACCAACTAAGAAACCGCCACGTATATATATTATTTTTTTTTAGCATGTGAATAGTATTAACACTTGTTTTTTCCAGTGGTTTATTCAAGCTACTTGCGCCACACAAGGTCATGGACTATATGAAGGGCTAGATTGGCTCTCGGCTGAATTGGCAAAAAAATAATTGATTGAAGAACCTAAAGTGTAACAAAGGAATTCGTTTTGTCCTACGCTGAAAATTATTGATTAGATCCTTAATAAATATGTATATGTAAATCGGTTTTAAATTCTAGAACAAGATAGTTATGTTGGGTTTGTGCAAAAGAACGCTACAATAGTGGCAAGGGAATATTAATGGGAGATTATTTGCAATACACCTGGTTTCCCCTTTTTTTTTACTGGCAGTAGTAAGACAGGCTCAGTAGTCTCTCAAGTGAAACCTATACAAATTTAAATATTTTACTTACTTAAATTGTATATGTCCGTCGGGTTGTTTGTTTAATGGTTTGTTTCTATCCAGCGAGACTCTGTTCTCTTTTGAACAAACATTCAAATCCGGCCAAAACTGAAGATAAAAGAACATACTATATATGTATTATCCGACATCAGACACTACAATTTTGAATTAATTTTTGTAAAGATAAGTAATTGGAAAACTGTTCGTTTTGACTGTTTCACAGAACACATAAATTTAATTCATACAAGCAAGCTCTGGTTATACCCGTGCTCAAAAAAGAGTTAAGGGGTATATTAGATTTGTGGTAAAAGTGGATGTGTGTAACGCAGAGAAGGAAATGTTTCCGACCCCATAAAGTATATATATTTTTGATCAGCATCAATAGCCGAGTCGATATAGCCATGTCTCTCTGTCCGTCTTGTTGAGCTCCTGGATCTCAGAGACTATAAGAGCTAGGGCAACCAAATTTAGTTTCCAGACCCATGTGATATCACACTGCTACAAGTATATTTCAAAATTTCGTCCCGCCCCCTTCCGCCACCATTAAGAACGAAAATCTGTGGCAGGCACAATTTTAAAGATACGATAAAACTAAAAACGCAGTATCGTAGAGAATACCCATATCTACCAGATTACCGAATCTGAATCAGATCGGATCATATTTATAGCTAGAATGAAGAAATTAATTTTCCATTGGTTCTTCCGCCCCCTCCTGCAAAGACCAGCTACCTATCTCTCGCTCGCACACTCTGCCGCGTTCAGTGCGCGAGCAACCCCTAGCGGAGGAGATGTAGAATCTAAAATTTAGATTCTAAATGGTACATGTACAATCTACATGTTAGATGTAGAATATATATGTATATGTAGATAACAGATGTAGCAAAAAAATGTTAAATGAAAAAATTTTTTTTTTTAATTCTAAAGCCTAGTACTTAGATCGAAAAACTGTTTTCGAACGAATATCATATATTCTTCGAGCAGCCAGTGTGTGACCAGAGGTGTGCACTGCATTCCGAACGGTTACTCTGCTCAGACAGCTGCTTGGTTTTGTTTAAAGTTAATAAAATGCACTTCTTCGGCTGGGGCCGCTCTTCCCCAGCCATATCCTGGGCTCCCCAATATTTTATTGGCAAGGTAATGTATCTGACTATCAGCAGCAGCAGATGGCGACGGCTCCCGTGCCGGACACCGTGAAGAAAAAATGTTTTGAAAACAATATATGTTTTATATTTATGAAAATTAATAAAAATAATAAATTATAATGTCCATATAATTGTCATTCATATAATACTGCATTAGCTAGATTCTATTTTTCTTCATTATTTAAATATTTCATTTAATGTTTTGTTCTCTTATTGCAATGTTTGCTTCGTGTTTGCTGGCAAATTATATCAAATTAATATCTTTTTCGAGGTGGGTCGAAACATACCAAAAAAACGAGAAGGAACGTGCGAGTCGCTTCTGGGGACGCGACTCTACTTATACCCGTAATCAGTCAGCATATACATTTTTGAGCATATGTTTTAGAATTTTATGATAAAAAAAAAAATAATTTTTTGCTACATCTGTTATCTACATCTACATATATTATGTATATTCTACATCTAACATGTAGATTATACATGTACCATTTAGATTCTACATCTCCTCCGCTAGGGGTTGCTCGCGCACTGAACGCGGCAGAGTGTGCGAGCGAGAAGGAAAATGAGTTGCGTTGTCTTTTGCTGGAGGGGGGGCAGGGGAAGCGACTGAAAATTAATTTCTTCATTCTGGCTATAATTATGATCCGATCTGATTCAGATTCGGCAGTCTGGTATATATGGGCATTCTCTACGATAATGCGTTTTTAGTTTTATCGTATCTTTAAAAATGTGCCTGCCACAGATTTTCGTCCTTTGTGTGGGCGGGGCGAAATTTTGAAATACACTTGTAGCAGTGGGATATCACACGAGTCTGGAAACCAAATTTGGTTGCCCTAGCTCTTATAGTTTCTGAGATCTAGGCGCTCATCGAGACAGACAGACGGACAGACAGACATGGCTATATCGACTCGGCTATTGATGCTGATCAAGAATATATATACTTTATGGGGTCGGAAACGTTTCCTTCTCTGCGTTACACACATCCACTTTTACCACAAATCTAATATACCCCTTAACTCTTTTTTGAGTACGGGTATAACAAGGATATACTTCGGATACTTTTCCTGTATATACCGACCTTTTTGTTTTTTGATCTGAGTACTGCCTTCCGTACAGACCCTAGAAAACTTATCGGTTTCATACGAATATCAACCCTGACTCTGTTCGCGAGGTGTTTTTTTCGATCTGAGTACTAGGCTTAAAACTCTAAAAAATCATATGCTCAAAAATGTATATACTGATTGAGTACGGGTAAAAATAGAGTCGCGTCCCCAGAATCGACTTACACGTTCCTTCTCGTTTAGAACAGCATTCATGTGGCGATGTCGTTGTGATATTGATCATTGATCCATTGATTCAGGGAGGGACAAGGATACTTTCGATGGTTAAAATGGTACCTGGAATATTTATGCCTAGTGTATACCTTACGTTCCGGAATGAATCCAATAAAAGACAACTTTATTTTCATTTTAATCAATTATATAAATCAACAAGTATAACAATTAAACAAGAAAAATACGGCGTCAAATACTAAATATAACAAAGGTTTGATGTACATATCTTGTACTCAGTATTATTATAATATATGTATATAATAATGATTCATATAACAATAACACAAGGACTTTGATTTCTTCTGCTGCTCATCAGTATTCATTTAAATATTAAAACAAAAAAAATTTCTTCTGAAAATCTTAGAAACGTAATAATTGCATACATATTCTATACAGGGCTCGATTAAAACAGTAAAATTGCTTACAAAATTGGAATGTAACATGGTTAATTTATGTTTGTATATTTTTATATATACATTTGATAGATCTAAGATCTAGGTAAATTTGGAAGAAGTATTTTAAAATTGCTGTACAGTTTGTTAGAAGTTCTAATAATCGTTAAAAACATGCATAACAATATTAATTACTAACATATTGACATTTGATTAATTTATGAATCAAGTTTTTGTATAAAAGCCAAAAAGTTTTAAATCATTGAAGTCAAAATTTAAACGTACACGTTCGTTGAGCAACCATTTTTCCTTCTATAAATTTCCAATACTGTGGATAATCAATATGTACATCTGTTTATAACAAATTTATATAGTGTGAGTGCGATGATTTCAGTATCGCCTACTGCATAATACTTGTTTATGTACTTTGGACTGCTGATGTATTGCAAAAGTTGATGATTCATAAGTCAATATCCAAATTATCAGAAGTTAGAAGCATAGACTCACTTTGACTATCGTCTACTAAGGAAGTAAGCGAATCGTTTATCATCGCTGCAGACAAGTCAACAGAATGGTTTTGATCGTCGTCCAACGGGTCATGTGGACGTTGGGATGATGAAAATAGTGGATCGTGATCACCATTGCAATGTCCAAGCCTACCAAACCCTGTGTTTTGAACCGAATCAGACTCCATGTGGCTTTGCTGACTATTTATATGACAATGATTTGTGTGGCGCTTAGGAGTTTTCATCTGGCGATGAATACAGCATGAATTGCTGCAAGCGATATTGCAGCAGTTGGTAAGATCATCTGATATGTTGACGCTGGGCGTTTCGTTAAAAAGTCCAGAATTCGCTTCCGAGCTGCTCTTTGGTGCATAACTGGCACAATTCAACTGATTAGCAGTAGGCGAATGTGAAGCAGATAGCATGTGGCTATGAGAAGACAGCATCGGATCGCCCCCTTGTACCGGGTGCTTGCAATCTTCCATGAGCTCATCGATCTGATTCATCCCCATACTGGCGTCGCAGGTATTTATTACTGGTATCTTTATGGAACAAAATGTAAGCTTAATTTGTTCTCAAAAAATCTACTATGTCAGGTAGGATCCGGTTTTCACATTCACTTTGCGTTTTACATTTCAGCAAAAAGTCATACTTTTCATTTTAAGGCGCTCTGGAATCCACAAAAGTCGATTTATTCACTCCGTGTTCTGTTAAGCGCAAAATTCACTGCTGTTATACCCACGCGTTAGTGCCAGCTCATACAAAAAGGCCACTGTTATGTTTAACCGAGATTTCTATAACCAAATAGGGCTGTTCCTAGGAATTCACTATTTGTTGTTGCCATCTATTTTTTTCCTTTTGCAATTAAGATTCGTTTGCCGTTTACTTTCGGCGAGAAATATGTTTCCGTTTTGAAAACGAAAAAATCTTTCGTTTTACGAATGTGGGAGCACCTGACTTTTCGTTTTGAAAAGTAAATCGCACATTTTTTGTGAAAGTGAAAACCTGCCTGAGTGTGTAAAAACTTACTTTTCTTTCAACAACTATTAATTCGTTCACAAGCGAACGACGACTTTGAGAAACAGATGGCGGCGTTGGACTTGAACTTTTGAGATATAAGTTTGCTGGGGTGGGCGCCGATACTGATGTAACATGGTAGTCCGATAGAGTAATACCTTGTGTCTTGGCCTGCATTTCCAGCTCCTTAAAAAAAAATTTAAATGTATCTATTAATGGATGTGAACATATTAATTTGAAAAGTTTATTTTTATACTTTACCCTAACGCGAGACATAAGCTTCCGGTTCTGAACCTCCATCTGACGCTGCCGACACTCATTTTGTCTGAGGCGAGTAACCTCATGTTTTAAGCATTTGATATAATCTACAGAGGATTTTAATATTGTTCCTTTGTTGGGACGAATATCACGGACGACTTCGTAAAAAGCTTCACTGCCTTTTGGCAAAAGGGTACCCAGCTCTTTGATCCTGTCATTAATATTAAAACGACGTCTGCGCTCAACTGCAAATCAAAAGATATAAGTAACTACTAATTAGTAAAATATGGTTCGTTTACTCATATTGTGGTTATCCTTTTTTTGTCGATCTTTAGCCATAGCATTTATTTCAGCATCAGTTAAGCTGTGTGGTTCCTGTTTAATATAAAGCTCGGAGTTGAAGTTTTTATCAAAATTAAACGAATCGTTTTGTAGTATATCATCAAAGAGATCTTCCGCCTGCAATTTAAATGTTTAACATTTTTTTTCAATTTATAATCTAATCTAAATTTGTAGAAGTCGCCCTATAGTCGTCCTTGCAAAAGTGTTATCCCAAAAGTCAAGACTTAAGTGGTTTAATAGTTGAGAGGCGCGGCACACGTACCGCGACACTATACTACACAGTACTCAGTTTGCTTTATATATTCAATCTCCATATTTTTACGCTTCTTAAATGCGAGTTGATGAATGGAGAAAGAATTTTTCTTTTTGTTTCAGGCGCAACATATTTTCGAGAGAATTTATGAGTTGTTCCAAACAGTTCTGAGCTAGACTGACTAGACTGGATTCTACTGGATTTGCCAATTCGCCACAATATATTACTGCAATCCGTCTTTCTTTTTTCACCTAATGACCAATATTCTGATTGTTTTCATATCGATGCGTCGGTTACATCTATCTCTCTTCACACCAACGCTTTTATATTTTCCTCAATCCTATCGGATCGCCACATCCTATGATTCTGCACTTTTTGCCATCTTCTTTCAATGGCAAAAGCAATCGAATATATGGAATAGACGCACATGAATCAGAGACCGACGCAACTTTTAGCCACCACTAGGGCCCTATGCTTAAACTACATGTGTAAAAAAAACTACGTCTCCGGCAAGACGAAAAGAAGAAGAAAAGAAGACGCAGCCCCAATGTAAACAGCCTATAACAGTACTGGGAGTAAATAAATCGCATTTTATGATTACAAAGCTCCTTGAAATGAAAAGTAAAATGCAAAGTGAATGTGAAAGCCGGAGCCTGCCTGATTCTCATAATCTATAAAATTCCCATATATTTATTATTATTTTTATTACAATATTATTTTTAATTTGAGTGTTGTAAAATACTATAGTTTATGGCCACAGGCTTTTGATATAGTTTATATATAACTAATGAATCAAATTATTTTTATATATGGATAAATCAGGTCATCTAAATGCAAAGGAGATTACTACTTAACTAGCTTTTTATTAAACATGTAATATCTACTTACATCGCTGTCGAATGATGGGAGCTGGAAACAAATCATAATTAAATATTAAGGTACTTTAAAATATAGATCAGTTTACTAAAAGTTAATTAGTTGATTTGAGAAATTAATTAGCTAATTAATTAATTGATTTGAGAAATTAATTAGCTACTAGAGAGGGTGTTTACGTGTCAATTTTGGTGAGATATTTTCTTTCGCGCATATTAATATTTTTTACATTTAAGGCCGAGATACCGACTTTGGGATACGGAACGGAACCGATATATAATACAAAATGAATAATAATAATATAATGTTAAACGGCCGAGAAAAAAATTCCACAACTTTATCTGGTGGTTAACTTTGTCCCAACGAAACTAGTCGGTAACGTAACTTTAAGTCGAGAAACCGGCCTTTAGAATAATAGACTCAGTGGAAAAGTTTACACCTCAAAAAACGGATGTCTATACCGGTCATGGCAGGACATTGAAAACCGTACACGACTTTTTATACCCGTACTCAAAAAGAGTTAAGGGGTATATTTTATTTGTGGTAAAAGTGGATGTGTGCATATATATTCTTGATCAGCATCAATAGACGAGTCGATATAACCATGTCCGTCTGTCCGTCTTGATGAACGCCTAGATTTTGTTTGCAGACTCATGTGATATCACACTGAATCAAGTTTGTTGCAAAACAAAAGACGAAAATCTGTGGCATCCACAATTTTAAAGATACGATAAAACTAAAAACGCAGTATCGTAGAGAAATTTCAGAATTTGAATCAGATCGTATCATTATTATAGCCAAAATGAAGAACATAATTTATTTTTCTCGCTCGCACAAACTCTGTGAGTGCGCCCTCTGGCGGAGGACATGTATAATCTACATTGTAGATGTAGATGACAAATGTAGGGAAAAAAATTTAAACTGATAAAATATTTAAAAATTCCACATAAATCATATATCATCCTCACATCCATATATACTGACTAAGTAAGGGTTTAAAAAGAGTCGCGGCAACAGAACCGACTCAACATTTCTTCTCGTTTTTTATTTCAGAACTATTACGAGACCGATTTGGATGATTTGCGCGATGCAAAACGATAGTCTGTGATTCAAGACCAATACGGAGATGGAAAAAATCTAATTTGATCGCAGATACCAAGCACCAGAAGATATTAAAGCATCTGCATCAGAGCTGCCAAACAGACCATGACGAGGATGATCTTAAGAAGGACACTCAGCGGCTTTAGAACTGTTTTTCTTGGCATCAACCCGACTTTTTGTAATAGACTTTAACAGCCGTTTGACCATTCTCTTAAAATCACATTTTACCGTACAAACTTAAAAACATGCCATGTCCCAAGTTTTTGCATAGCATAGTTTCAGTTCATGGGCAAAGTCTCTGAACAATCACAGGGATATATTGCAGGCAAGGTTGTCAACTCTTGAAGATAAGTGCTGAAAATTGAGAAACGGTCAACTTTCTAAAGAGGATCAGTATAAGAATGGTGTTCTGTCCCAAACGTTTTTTCTCCACTTACGTATGGACAGTACAGTTTCGCACAACAAATTTGTCTTAATTTATTAAAATACTATTTTTACTCACCTCTGAAGCACTTGTAGCTACAGAGCTTAGACTTGGGGATATGGGTGCTGAAGTGGAGTGCAATGAACTCGTTGTACTGGAAGTGGGCATCGTATTAATTACTCCAGATGTAGTAAGTGTAGTAATAGGAGAATTTAAACTTGAATTCCTCTTTAAATATCCTTGTGTTTTATTTACAACTTCTGTGGATTCTTCTGAACTTTGGGGGTTAATACTTCCCGATGAAATTTGTTCATTAGGGTTGCAGCTTCCATTTCTTAAAAAGCTGGCGCCAAAAGGAGATATTTGCATGGATTCATCGGAATGCATAGTTCGTTTGCCACTGGAATTCATTTCACATCTATAACTATTTGACCGCTCCATAGGAGGGCAACTGTTGACTAAACAGGAATTGTGTAGATTTCCAGTGGATACCGAGGTATTTGCTGCTTTCGTCTATAATTTTTTGAAAAATGAGGTACAATTTATTTATGAATATATTAAAAGTGTGTAAAAAAAACTTACATCGCTGTTATGACAACCCCAAACAGATGGCTTGAACGATTCACTGAGAAATTGTCTAACTTGATTTTTTTGCTTCTGTATAACATGATACCGTGTGGGATTCTCAAGCACTGTGCTGACCTGTAAAATTTCTTGCTTAAAACTTTTTTAACTCAAGCGGTAGCTGGCAATTACCTGCAACACTTGAGGTGGTACATCCACACCAATACTCTGTAAGGGAACTTTCAACTTAACTGGACTTGATGAAGGCAAACGATCCCTTTGCACAAGATGAGACATCTGCTCCAGGCTCGATGATCCGCTCCCACAAGCGCTGGTACTGTTGCTGTTTATAAATTCTGACTCGGTCGATCCCTGACCCATGCCAAACAACAACTGCATTTTTGGATCTGGCGATATCAATATTTGTTGCTGCACCATCATTTGTTGCTGCTGTTCCTGCTGCTGTTGCTCCCGTTGCAACTGTAGTTTTAATTGCGTCCGCGAGGTAGGAGTGGCAGTTTTAAACGTTGGTCTATAAGTAAGAGATTTACGATAAATAAAATGTCTCTCAAAGCTTAACTAAGGAGCTTAACATATATTATGTGCAGACTCTTTCATAACGGACTAAAATACATACCCACCCGAAAGAGGCGGTAGACCCACTATTCGTGGCTCTGTAGTTTCGGTGCTAATATCGCCTAAATCTACGATGCTCGGATCCATTTCAAGAATCATTTCTAAATCTTTATCTATACCGACAGTTACTCGTATATTTGTAGTCGTCGTGGACTTAGTTTGACTATCCCTTGTTGAGGGCCCTGATAAAGGCACTACACTGTCAATTTCATCAAGTTCCATTAACATCGAAGGTTCCACGCCGACTTCAATTGCAAACGAACTGGAGTCCGTGCTCGGATTAGCTGTATAATCTGTATATTCTTTTTCGCTATCCTCTGTCGGTGACATCTGCAACGTCTGAACTCTTCTTACAAACTCTTGAAACTCCTGATAATGATTGTCCGAGTTCAGCGGTGCCAACTTTGCCTCTTCCATGTCTTCAACTGTTAAACTATTTATAATTGTTTCAGTTGGTGCACCTGTGTCACTTTTTAAATGATTTTCGTTTATAGAACTAAATGCTACAGATTGTTTTTCTTCGCGTTTGTTTCCAACTTTTTGAATATTTTTCTTGTTCCAGTACGAAAACATGTTAATGTTATTTGTATATCATAAAAGAACACGCAGACGTATTTCACAAGCCAAATTAGTTCTGGTCCCCCCATTCGCTAGGTATTACAAAGACCTTGATCTTGTGTCTAATTCGAATAAGCAAATGAGGAATGAGAGCGCCTTTGTACGCATGCTTTCCAATACCATTTATGTGTATGGCGGAAATAGTCTAAGGTTGCAAAATAAATATAAGTGAGTTGCTATTCTTTAAAAATTCAACCGTGAACCATGCAAATTCATAAACCGTTAAAAAATATTCGGGTGAAAAAATTAAATTTACATTTATTTTCCAACGGAGTATAATATAAATAAAAAAAAATAAGTTGATTTATCGTTTTAATTGGTCAATGTTGTCCGATGAGTGAATTAATTCGACCACGTCTTTACGACACCTTACAATATTCGCATCATGGGTACGTATATAGCGATATTTAAGTATGTATAGCTGCGCAATAGAATTATATGCGCAAACAGGGTGCGTTTAAGAATGGTAAATTGGCGATCATTAAATTTGGTATATACATGTACCTGCAAGTACATAAGTATGTGTACATAGTCAAGAGTTATACGTAGTTACGTATGTAAAATTATAGTACAACCAATTCTGTATGAATACAACTATATACTTACATCTATGTTTGCACGTGTACACGAGCACTTCCGCTAAAATGTACATCATTCCAAATAACATTAAAAGTCAATAAAAACACAGTTCCATATAGTTCTGTACTGATAAACATCTGTCCCGAAAATTAATATTTCTTAATTTATTCAAAGAATAACTAATTTACTCTCTTGACTTATACGTACATATGTAAATTTCATTAACTTTGATGGGAAAGACCTCAAAAGACCTTTTTTTTTTTATATTTTTTTATAACTTTTTCTTTTTTATTTGGACGTATGTATATACATATGTAATGACTGCACCATCAAGTGGCTTTTTCCCCGTCAAATCATGCTATTTTTTAAGACCAACTGCGGGAAAAATGTACGAATTGCGGGAAGCTGTATTCTGCATTTTTTATACCCGTACTCAAAAAGAGGTATATTGCATTTGTGGTAAAAGTGGATGTGTGCAACGCAGAGAAGGAAACGTTTCCGACCCCATAAAGTATATATATTCTAGATCAGCATCAATAGCCGAGTCGATAGAGCCATGTCTGTCGCTTCGTCTGTCTGTCTGTCTTGTTGAGCGCCTAGATCTCAGAGACTATAAAAGCTAGGGCAACCAAATTTGGTTTCCATATTCATGTGATATCACACTGCTACAAGTGCATTTCAAAATTTCGCCCCGCCCTCGTCCACCCCCACAAGGACGAAAATCTGTGGCAGGCACAATTTTAAAGATACGATACAACGATGTATCGAAGAGAATGACCATATCTAACCAGATTGCCGAATCTGAATCGGATCGGATCATAATTATAGCCAGAATGAAGAAATTAATTTTCAGTTGCTCCCCCGCCTCCTTCGGCAAGAGACCCGCTACTCATTCTCTTTCTGGCTCGCACAATCTGCCTCGTTCAGTACGCGAGTGAATCTAAATGGTGCATGTATAATCTACATTGTAGATGTAGATAACAGATGTCGCAAAAACGAGAAGGAACGTGTGAGTCGCTTCTGGGGACGCGACTCTACTTTTATACCCGTACTCAGTTAGTATATACATTTTTATACCCGTACTCAATAAGAGTTAAGGGGTATATTGTATTTGTGGTAAAAGTGGATGTGTGTAACGCAGAGAAGGAAACGTTTCCGACCCCATAAAGTATATATATTCTTGATCAGCATCAATAGCCGAGTCGATATAGCCATGTCTGTCTGTCCGTCTGTCTGTCTGTCTGTCCGTCTGTCCGTCTTGTTCAGCGCCTAGATCTCAGAGACTATAAGAGCTAGGGCAACCAAATTTGGTTTCCAGACTCATGTGATATCACACTGCTACAAGTGTATTTTAAAATTTTGCCCCACCCCCTTCCGCCACCACAAAGAACAAAAATCTGTGGCACATTGTGGATGTAGATGTAGATATCAGATATAGCAAAAAAATGTAAAATGTAATTCTAAAATTCTAAAAAATCACAGGCTAAAAAATGCATATACTGACTGAGTACAGGTATAAGTAGAGTCGCGTCCCCAGAAGCGACTCACACGTTCTTTCTCGTTTTTTTATCGAAATTTGCCACTCTCCCATTAGTTTTAAGCAAACTATCATCTCTATACCAAATGTAAGCATCAGTGGATTACCATGCATTAACATTTTCGAAATGCCAAACAAAGTGCCGCGATGCTTGGCTAAAAAGCGAAGTATTTAAGGCTTGGATTCGTACAGATGACACGGATGAGCATAAAGTGTACTGCAGCTATTGCAAAATCACTATCACAGCAAAGCTAAAGTTATTGTGAGTGTAAGGATATTTCTTATTTTTATCTACATATATTTATAATAATCTCGTTTTCATTAAAGTCTGAAGTATATTAAGTATGTGTGCGCTTAAATAATAATGTATTTTTGATATTTTTATATGACTATCATTATGTCACCATATATGAGGTGGATTTTTAGACAAGAACGCTTAGATGAGCTTAGCTAAACTTTTATTGATGAAGCACTTTGCATTGCTAATGTAAAATACTAGTATCGCGAATTTAATCGTGGATGTCTTTCATTGCAGGACGAATTTCGTGAAGGTCGTTTAAAATCAATTTTTGTGCCAAAAATATCGAAATGATTTTAATACGAGGGTTTTCCGATAAGTTTCCATCCTGACAATGAAGCCGACTTCCTACGTTAACCAATTTTTAGCATTCTTAATTAGGCAACTTGTAATATATTCCCGCCAAAATTTCAGCCCCATCGATATTGTAGTCATCGTTGAGCAATCGATTAACCCAGGCGTTATCAGTGATTTTTAAAATATGGAAAAAGTTGAATACCGTGCGTTTGGACCGCACGGTATTCAACTTTTTTTTTGTTATTATTTTTTATTTAAGGGCACCTGCACAAGTCAAAACCGGGATTAGGACTCTTTCCTATCATTTCTCATTGTAAGGTCAGCTCTGCTGAATTTAAGCGTGGACGTACGAGCTTAGAAGATGAGACACCTCCGGGACACTCAACAACTGTGACCACTGACGAAAACATCGCCAAAATTGTTCTGGACGACCGCCAAATCAAAGGATTATATTTTGAACCACAATTTGGACACAAGAAAGCTCTAAGCACGTTGGCTGCCGCGTTTGCTCACATTTGATCAAAAGCGTATTCGAATGAACTGTTGGAAGTCTCTCTTGGCGATGTTAAAGCGTAATAATCCAGAGTTTGGCGCCGACTTATAAATGTGGATAACAAATAGATACTCCAGAAGCAAAATTGGAATAAAAACGGTGGATTGCGGGTTTTCGGCTGGAAAAGTGATGGCAAAAGTTGTTTGGGATAGTCAAGGAGTTTTACAAGCCGATTATCTAGAGAAAGGAAAAACGATTACAGAAGACTACAAATGACAAAAATTACCCCACTTGCAGAAGAAAAAAAGTTCATCCGCAGTTGGCATGGCAAAAATACATGGATTACGCTTTAAATTTCTTCATCAACGTCCATGTTCTCCAGACCTAGCTCCAAGTTACGCTGAAGAGGTAGGAGCATCGCTGGGAGAAGTTGACTTAGAAGAAGACTATGTTGATAAATAATATATAAAAACAATTTTTAACTACTGTATCATTGTTAGGCTGAAAACTTATCGAACAACCCTCGCATCTACACACATGAAGAATCATGGATATATACATATAAGCCCGAAAAAAAACAGCAATCGACGGTATGGATTTTTTAAAGTGAGTCAAAAAATACAACAGACAATTAATAGCCGAGTGTGTTTCAAACCTTTAAAATAAATTTATTTTATTGAAGTACAAGGAACATAATATCATTAAAAAAATGTATTCAGATGTAAAATAATAACAAACGTATTCGTTGTCGCTTTTTTACCCATCTCTTAGACATGTATGTGATTAAAACGTAAAGTAACGACTATTTGAAAGTGGCCGTTTTTTTGTACTAGCTTGGGTACAATGGGATGGGTTAAATCAAATGGTCGCCTGGCCAAAAAGAACTGGTCTTATAGAAACTTTTTCGATAGGAAAAGTAGGTAGATCAATTCTGCGTGGTAAATAGCCATTTTTTAATGACGTTGGGTTTTTCATGGTTAGAAACTTAAATTGAAAACTATGTATATCTCTATTATATAAAATAATAAGCGTTTTTTTCGGTCACCGCCAAATATTTTTTTTTTTTGCACATTCTTCTGTACTAGGGGCGATATATCTTGCGATATGTCACTACTGTATTAATAACTACTTCTAATAACATTACAAAAACAGTATAAATGGCATCATTAGTATCCATTTTTCTGTTGCCTTAACAATTCTTCTTCATGCTGGGCGTAACTAAATCTACTGTCAATGGTAGTAATGAAGTAGCAATTCAGAAGAAACGAGAAGGAATATGTGAGTAGCTTCTGTTTACGCGACTCTCCTTTTATACCCGTACTCACTCAGCATATACATTTTTGAGCTTATGATTTATGTACAATTTTAAAATACTTTACATTTAAGAATTTTTCGCTAGATCTGTTATCTACATCTGCAATGTCGATTCTACATCCACAATGTAGATTATATATCTAAAATGTAGATTATACATCTTCTCCACGAAAGGTCGCGCACTGCACAGGGCAGAGTGTGTGCGAGCGAGAATGAGAATAAGTAGCGTCAGCAGCGTTAGAGGAGGTGGGGGAAGCAACTGAAAATTAATTCTTTATTCTGGCTATAATAATCTGGTTCGGATTCGGCAATCTGGTAGATAATATGGTCATTCTCTACTAAACTGCGTTTTTAATTTTATCGTATCTTTAAAATTGTGGATCCAACAAATATTCGTCTTTTGTGAAGGCGGAATGGGGCGTGGACAATTTTTGAAAAAAACTTGATTCAATGTGATATCAGCTTTTA